ACGTTGTATAAGTTCTGAGGAGGCTCTCATCCCCTCTCTTTCTATAGTGAGGAATTGTCAGGAAGAGCCCTCAACTCGATTATCCCACTGCTCGTGCAGGCTTGCATGGCATACTTTGATGTCCGACGCATACTGGTCGATTAAGGGAGCTCAGTGGACATCATGTACTCCCAGTTGTTCGCTACCCTACGGCTAAATGAAAGTCGCCTGACCCCATATGTGGGCTCGTACCTCCATGGCTTCAATAGGGCCAGTACTAAACCCCAGGGATATGTCGAGCTGATCGTCACCTTTGGAAGAGGGGTGACCGCCAGAGCCATCAAGACTCAGATTCTCGTAGTGGGTTTCCCATCTCTCTATCAATGTATCTTCAGAAGGCCTGCTATAGATGAACTGATTGTGGTGCCCTCCACCGTACACCTCAAAATGAAATACTACACTACAGAGAGTTTGATCGCCATCCTCCACGAGGACGTCCAAGCGGCAAGAAGATGTTTTCAATCCTTGACCATGGGCTTGATTTCCATCAACGCTCAACCCCAAACGACCACTGGGGCCGCCCTGCCCTCTAGCTTCGAGGAGGCCAAGCCACTGCCAAGGGTCGACACCATCCACCTCGACAGCCGCTTCTCCAATGAGGATCGCGCAGAGTAGAGGAAGAAAGGGAAAAAGCCCATGATCAAAGGTAAAGGTTCATCCCTAGATGCAAGTAGAGAGGAACTCTCAGACCCCGTACGACCCATTCCATACGGAGGCTTCAAGATCATTCCCCTAGGGAACGATCCCTCTAGAGGAGTAAAGATCGGAGTTGACCTCCCTAAATTGGAGAAGAGGCAACTTAAAGCTTGCTTGAGGGAGAATGTTGATATGTTCACCTGGAGCGTAGCTGAGATGCCCGAATTGGACCTAGAGATTTCATGTCATCACCTGGCCATAGACCCTGCCCTCAAGGCGATCGCCTAGCGCAGAAGATAGAAGTCCCCCAAAAAAATGGAGGCTGTCGAACTAGCTGTAAAAGACCTCTTAGAGGCACACTTTATTTCTGAAGCCCAGGACACAACTTGGCTCTCGAATATAGTTCTTGTAAAGAAATATAATGGAAAATGGTGCATGTGCATTCATTATACCGACCTCAATCAGGCTTGCTCGAAAGATGTTTATCCCTTCCCCAATATTGACAAACTGGTCGACAACTCGGCCGATTTCAAATTAAAATATTTTATGGACGCATATTCTGGATATAACCAGACTCCAATGGCGAAAGCGGACAAAAAATATATTGCTTTCATGACCGAGTCCGGCAACTATTACTATAACACAATGCCCTTCAGCCTGAAAAACGTGGGTGTTATATATCAGTGCATGATGAACAAAGTCTTCTGCAACGAAATAGGTGACATGCTCGAAGTCTACATGGACGACATGATTGTCAAATCGACAAAAGAAATCGACTGTGCCCTCTACTTGAAGAAAGTTTTCGAGCATGCCAGAAAGTTCTGGATGCGATTTAACCCAGAAAAGTGCCCATATGCATACGGGCAGAAAAATTCCTCGAATTCTACCTCACGGAATGAGGGATTGAGGCAAACCCCGACAAATGTCGAGCATTTTTTGAGTTTCCAACGCCCACCTCAAAAAAGTCCATTCAAATCCTGAACGTCAGCTCACTTCTCTCTCTCTCGATTTGTGGCAAAATTCGCCCAACACACGCTCCCCCCTCCCCCTCTTCAAACTCCTCCACAAGGAAGCTGCCTTCGAATCGACGACCAAATGTGAGAAAGATATCACCCACTTGAAGCAAGCACAATTACAATTTCACGTACTTTCTCGACCAGAGAAGGATGAAATCCTCTATCTCTATCTGGTCGTCACCCCTGAGGCAATAAGTGCAACACTAATCAGAGAAACCTCAAAAGGGCGGAGGCCTATCTACTTTATGAGCAAGGCCCTGCAGGGCCCCGGAGTAAGATATATTAGAAAATTGAAAAGGTGGCACTAGCCTTCATCAATGCGGCGAGGAGACTCCGACATTATTTCTTGACGCATACCATAGTCTTATGAACAGATCAACTAATAAAGCAGTTGCTCGGTAGGCCTGACATAGCGGGCAAAATGTTGAAATGGTCGTTATAACTCTCTGAGTTCGACATCCAGTACGAAGGCAGAAAAGCCCTTAAAGCTCGAGCATTAGCCGACTTTGTGGCCGAAATAACCTCGCCCGTACCCTAGGACGGGGCGCACCGATGGACAATTTTCGTCGATGGCGCCTCCAATTCGATAGGAAGCGGTGCAGGCATTATATTGGAAAACGAATAAGGAACCCTAATAGAGGTCTCCCTTGCATTATCCTTCTCAAACTCAAACAATCAGGTCGAATACGAGGCATTCCTAGAAAGTTTACGCCTAGTCGAAGACCTGGGAGCCGAGGAGGTGAAAATCTTCACAGACTCTCATCTCGTTGCATCCCAGGTCCGGGGAGAATATTAGATGAAAAGCAATCACCTTGCTGAGTATTGGGCCCTAGTCCAAGAGAGAAAAGAAATTCAAATCCATGGACGTACAACATGTTCCCCACAAACATAATGCTTGGGCAGACGTCATGTTTAAACTAGCAAGCACAAAGAGGAAAGGGGGGAACAAGTCAGTGATACAGGAAATTCTTCCTCGACCAAGCACCTTGACTTTAGGAGTATTCGCCATAGGAGACGACAGATGTTGAATGACCCATGTACACAAATACCTAACAAGAGGAGAGTTGCATGTCGACTCGAAGGAAGCGGCGGTGGTCAAGCGAAGAGTCTGTTCCTATGTCCTAGTCGAAGGCAAGCTTTACAAGAGAGGGTTTTACATCCCCCTCCTCAAATGCGTCGACCAAAGCGAAATGGATCGCATCCTGCTCGAGATCCATGAAGGGATAAACGGCTAACATCTGGGCAGAAAATCCCTCACCATAAAAGCTCTACGAGTAGGATCTCCCTTGATAATCACGTCACTACATTATTTTAACATTTAAATAATTAAATTAAAGTTAGGTCTGTGTCAGTCAGACTTTGTTTTTTTTTATAAAAGTTGCGAGGTGGGAACCACATCACAACATAAAAAGTAGAATAAAATAATATAAAGCCTCGGGCATTGTGAAAATCACGTTACAACAAAAGTTGTTGCTCTGATCAACTGTTTGTTATGCTTGTTCCTACTGTAACATTGGAGATTTATGTGCGAAATGTTGTGACGTGATTTTCACGTGACATGAAAATCACGTCACAACAAAGTTCTCATACACTCCCCTGTAATATAATTAGTCACGTCGCAAAAAATATACTTTCTGGCGTAATTTTGTAAATTATAACATGATAATCATGTGCGTGAGATCATTTCAATCCATTAGGATAAGAAGTGTCTCATTTAATAAAATATATTTCTAATTACATTGGATCATGTGTTAACGTAAGTGAAAAAGTTACATGCATGACAAGTGCAATAAGTTCAAGAGCTGCTTTTGGTGCAATAACTTCAAGAGCTGCTTTTGGTAAAAATATGTAAAGATCAACAAGAGTTTCTTTTGTTGATTAAGAAACTTGTGAAACTTATTGAAGGTTTTATTGTCATTGATTTGTTTCCTTCTCAAAAGTGGTTCCATGTGATAGTTGAAGGAAGCCTAAGCTGGAGGAGTTGCATAAGAATTTTGATAATATTATTGAAAATATATTATCAAAGAGGCTGTAACAAAGGTTATGCTCTTGAGTTATTTTGGTAAGTTTTATGAATTATGTTTTCTTCTTTCCTTTCAAACTTTTAGTTTCTATTAAATACTTTTTTTTTTAATTTCCATGGTGTATGACATGTTTGTTGCTGGAAGTGATGCATCATCTGCAATCATAGAATGGGCCATTTCAGAAATGCTAAAGAACCCAACAGTAATGATCAAAGCCCAACAAGAAGTAAGAGAGCATTTTGGCACCAAAGGATACATTGATGAAACATCTCTTCAAGAACTCAAATATCTAAAAGCAATCATCAAAGAGACACTGAGATTACACCCTCCTTTCCCACTTCTTCTCCCAAGAGAATGCAAAGAAACTTGTGACATTAATGGATACACAATACATGCAGGAAACAAGTTATAGTAAATGCATGGGCAATTGGAAGAGATCCTGAGTATTGGACTGAATCAGAGAGGTTTATTCCTGATTTTTGTATTGTGCAATTGATTATGAAGGTTCCAATATCGAATATATATCATTTGGTGCTGGAAGGAGAATCTGTCCGGGGATTTTGTTTGGTGTCGAGTATTGAACTCTTGCAGAACTTCTTTATCATTTTAATTGGGAACTTCCTGGCGGATTAAATTAGGAAAATCTAGAAGTGACAAGCTTTGAGCTCCTCATCGAGAAGGAAAACTGATCTGATACTAGTTCCTATTTCTTGCTACAATCCTGTACTTGTTTCATAAAGGATTTGGATTTGCTGCAATCGTGTTTCTAGCAGTCGCTTTCAATGTGAACTGTCGAATCTGTTAATCATTATCATGGATGTTGATTTACTTGTATAGAGGACTAGTACTCTGAAGATGTTGCACTATTTTACATATTCTACATTTTTGTTATATATGTGTTGTGAGCATTATGCTGTACTTGTCTGCATTGTTATACTTATAAAATGAGAAAGTTCATTCTACTTCATTCTCAAATGCTTCAAGTGTTGCAAAAATGAGATATCGGTTTTTCGAAGTGGATAAAACTATACGCATAACATAATCAAACAAACATAATAGAGAACATTCACTTTTTTATAGTTTAAGTACATCTACTAGATACAAATGTACCATGACTCCCATGTCAGCAACATACAATCTAACATTTGTACATATTTTTCAAAACTAAGAACCAACATAAAGATGACTTCATGGTTCATTAAACCTAACAAAAGATCATGGCTGAGTTGGATATGTATTTATGTAATGTTATAGGCTGGTTACCTTGGCTAGTAGTTTAATCCTGCTACATTTTTCTCTTTTTAGCATGTGATACTGCTGAGCTTATTGCAAGATTATCAAGAAACGATGCATCAAAGGAGGATGCAGAACTAGAGCTTTCACTGTCGCTGAAAGAAATTTTTCTTTTTATCAGGTCAAGTGGATTTGCAGGCTTGATTTGTTGTTGCCATGCAACTGTAGAACTTGGAGTAGGATCCTCAATCTTCATCGCATTTCCAGAAACAGCCTTCCTTTCATGTACTCCTTGAGGCATACACTGATCATCATCATCATCATCATCATCATCAAGGTTTATGATCTCAATATTCTTTCCCAATTGCTTTGTTCCCTTACCTGGCACAAAAATATATATATGTTTAAGCTTACATAACATTTGTCAAACATGAGGAAGAAATCACAGAAAAGATGTTTACCAGTTTTCATAGAGAGCAAAAATATATAGACGCAATCAAAAAGTAGATGCTTTAGGCTAAAAGAATCAATAACATCTTCCAAAAACATTTTATCCCCTGGCTACCAAACCTCAACAAATAATCCAAAAACACTTTCACTACATTTCTTGGTATTAGATTCATTTTCTTTTCATGGAGGGTGTTTCCTCTTCAAATTTGTCACAAGAGTCTCCTCTGAATATTCATCTGTGGTTGAATTCATCACTGACTTTGGCGCAGACACCATTTGAACATGACAACCCCTCTTGTTGTTTTTTTCTGTTTCCTTAGCAGAATGCTTTTTAGCATCTGAAATCACCTTCCGGATTTCCTCTTTTCAACGTGTATGAGAGTAGTGTTTTTCACATTAGAGATACAACTAAGTCCCACCAATGGCCTTGTTGGTCTTGCTTCTTCACCAAGTGAGAACATCCAGAATTCACAGTAAATAATCATTTAAGGAAATGGGGAGTATTAAACAATAAATGGTTTTCAAAGAACAAAAAAAAAAAGAACAGACATGCAAAAGAGCTACTATATGCTCACTAATAATTTCCCAGACAAAAGCTCCAAAAGAGTACATAATTTCTACTAATGAACAAGAGAATATTCATTCACACCATCTCTTCTTTGAATAACCCAAATAACTATTCTAATCCCACTATGCCTTCTATATGCTACTAAATAACTTACTTTCACTAGACCCTGTCACCTCAACTGTTTTCTTGAGCCTTCTTGTGTATACCAAGTAACACTTCTCACCTGCAGAAAATGTTCCAAAAAACTATCTGAAGGAACATGTGATATGAAGCAAAAATACAGGTTTAGAATCACTCAATTATCCTAGATAGAGTCTTGGATTATATCTCTAAAATAGGAACTACAAAAATGAAGGACATACTTTTATATTCTAAATAAGCTTCAAAGTAATAGCTATAATTGGTTTCAATAGAGAAAAGAACAGAAATAGAAAATAGCTGCTATATAATGTATACTAATCACTCAGACAACAGCTGCTATATAATGTATACTAATCACACAGACCGTCTCTTTCTAAGTTCTAAGTAGCATTCCCCTGCATAAGCACTCTCGTTCCACTACTCCTTCTCGACACTATTGAAACTAACTCCCACAAGACCTGGCCGTCTCAACCACTTCCTTGGGCCTTCTTGCGTATATCATCCAACCCTTCACCTGCGATCATGACACAATCAGTCTTAAATCAGTTCTCTAGGATCATGGCTCTCTCCTACTAAAATTTCCGGGTTCCTGTTGCACGGCTCTGTCCTGTCCTCAACGCTGAAATTAGGGCTTCACCTCATTAATTTACCTTCCAAAGTAGCTAGCTTCCTCAGCATGTCTGTTCTGCAACAGATTCAATACCACACCAGTTTTATCAATTCATTATGGCGAAATAAAAATCTCCCAAGAACCAAGATTTGTTTGAGGTTCCACTGTACCAATCAATGCTACCTCCATTTCCATAGGAAAATCACTCAGCGAAAATTGAAGTAACAGCTTGCTTGAGCAGAGAAACATGGAATAAACATGAACCCGAGCGAGGAAACAAGAAGCTTCAAAAGCCACAATTCAAATTCCATCAGGAGAACCATAATATTGTGGTTCAAATTGAGTTTATGTAATAGGACCCAAGATGAGAAGGTGGACTCAAAGAGACTAGTCACTACTAATTACTAAAATACCTCAATAATAAACTTAGTTACTACTAGTCTCTTTGAGTCCACCTTCTCATATTGGGTCCTATTATTATGTTGGTTATTGTCATACTCGTGTTGCAAAATATGATGACCAGTTAAAGGTTTTTTCTATGTGGCTTGGTTCAATCACTAGTAGCCTAACTAGTTCAAAGAAATTATAACATAATAATAGCTACCAAGAAATCTAACCAAACATTTATTTAACCACCCATATTTAATTCAATAACTATAAAGAAGCATTCAATAAATGCATATCTTTTATACGAATAAGCAATGCAAGCAGAACTTCCATACCTGGTGATGCAACATGAGCATCCTTGTCCCCTTTGTTCAGTGGCTGAGTACCGGCAGCATCTCCAAGAGAATGGTGAGCAACTTCATCTCTTTGCAAAGGAGCAGCTTCCTCCACAGTGTCATTTCGAAACTCATTGCCACGAACATCAGCAACCATAGGATCAGCAGCAGGTTCCCCCTCATTCTTTCTATCACCAGAAGCCTCAACACTCAGCAAAAGGATAATATCATTCTCCAATTTTTCAACTCTTTCATTCAGTCCGTGAAACTTCGCATTCGAAGACTCGAGCAATTTCTCAAACCGTCTCTTCTCATCGCCCAAATTTCTGTTTTCCTTCCTCAACTCACTTATAGTTCCCAAATTCTTCTTCACTGATCCCTCCAATTCATCTTTCTTAATCTCAAGTTTAACCAAAGCATCTTTCTCACCCTCCAACACACGAACCTTCCTCTTAACCACATCGAGCTCAACACTATCATCCAACCATTTTTTCTTCGATTTCCTCAACTCCGTAATCTGATTCTCCAAATCACGAACCATCTTTCTCAACACACCAAGTTCATTTCTATCTTCCTCCCATTTTCCCTTCATCTCCCTCAACCCTAAAACCTCCACCTCCAACCCATCATTCTTCACTCTTAACACCTCAATTTCCTTCCCATCCTCAACACATTTCTCCTTCAAATTCCTAACTTCACACTCCAACTTACTGTTCTTCTCTCTCAGCTCTCTAATCCTAACCCCTTCAGCTAACCCATTCACCTTAACTTCCCTCATCAAAGACTCATAACTTTCCTTCAACCTTCCTTTCTCTTTCTCATAAATTTCTTCCCTTTTCCCAAAATCCACCTCCGCCTGAATCCTCGAGAGTCTCTCAAAGTGAAGCTCCTCTTCAAGCCTTCCTCTCTCCAAATCAACATTCTCTTGCAACCGTTGAATCTCCTCTCTGACCCTCGTATCCCTACCCACCAAAACACCTTCAACGATATCAAAAATTTCAATTTGATACGTTCCGCGCAAAATGCTGATAAGTTCTTGAATCGATTTGTTTTCGAAGTTGTTAGGGTTTGTGGGAATGGACCACGCTGGTAAACCGGGTTCGGGTTTGGGTTCAATGTTCATGGTTTTCGGTGTGGAAGAAACGAGTGAGAAGAGAAAGGAAGATGAAAATGGCGCTTAGAGGAGAAGAAAGAGGGAAAATGGATAATAGTGTGGAAGAAGAAAATGAAAAGTATCGAATGTGACAAAACGAAAATGGAACAAACAACAACTGTTTGTTAAAAAGCATGTTTTTCGTTTGTAGTACTTTTTCTCACGAGTACTTTTTGCAATAAATTAATTAAAGAACTCGTTGGGAAAATTAATGTTTTTAGATTTCGTAAAATATAAGTTAAATTTAGTTTTAAAAAATTGAATTTTTTTTTTAAATGATAAGGTTTTAAAAAAATATTTCAGAGAAAATTATACAAATAAAAAAATATTTCAGAGAAAATTATGCAAATAATTATGTTTTAAGAATGTTTAAAATATTTCAGTCATTTCAAATGGTGCATTCATTCAAATTTCAAATGAGACGTTAAATGAGATGACGTTTAGGGACATCTGATGTGTCTTACGTAATCTTAGATGGCGTCTAGGTGCAATTTCCTTCTTATTTTTGATTAAAAAATAAATGATAGTTTAGTCACAAATGAGACTTCGATTTTCAATAAAGATGAAATAATCATATGATGGGAATAAGAGTTACATATTATTTAGTTGTCTTCCGGGACTCGATAACGACTCGTGCTTCCGCAACCGCATCCTCGCCTAACTTGTGGTGCGTTTCGACGATTTTTCTGTTGCAGTTGGGTCGAGGGCCTTGCTAATTCAATGTGTTCAGGGTCCATGAAATCTGTCAGATCACCATATCTGGAAGTCCCGCTTTCAAACAGTCGGTTACCCATGCCCTCAAAGTTTGATCGTATTGGTGGAAGTGGAGTTTCATGGATGGTCGATAGCACTAGTCGTCTGAGTAAGGGGGATAAAAAGAAAATGAATCTTGTGGAGTTTGGTACTCATAATTTTGTTGTGTGTTATAGTGATGTAATGGTTGATAGTATGTTGGATCGGTTGGAGAATATTCTTCAGGTAGGCACATGTCTAGACAAAGGTGGGATGATGAGGGACTCATATCGAGATGTCAGATGTATGGTCTTTTTTATTTGTACTGTGATTGTGTTTGGGGCATGTGTGTATTGGTATTGGTCTTGGGGTTGTGTGTTTGTGGATTTGTATCGTCGTTGTGCTTGGTGGGAGGTTGATGTGTGTTGTTATGGTTGTTGTTGGGTGGTGTATGATTGTTGGTAGTGTTGTTGGAGAATTGAAGATTATGCCCCATCATGTGTGTGGGTTGATCAAATACCTCGGGCCAGCCACAAACATTTCAAGGTTAGTAATTGACCTGTATCAATTGATATATTAATTTATGTATCGCATAGCATGGTTCGCGGGATAAATAGGGAAACCTAACACATGTTGGTCATGCCTTTTCCACATCTTACACTATTTCAGACCAAATTCTTTCCAATTGTTAACACCCCACTGGGCGTCGATCCTAAGGAGATGTCAAAGCAACAAATATTGTCGGTGTATTCCCCAAACGGTACTTGTGTCAACGGAAATGGAATATTTTGTCGACTGTTCTGGGCTTTTTAACCTTGCATCAAAGGGTTTGCGTTCTGCAACCCTATTATTCAAATAGATGAAATGTGGTTGTACGGGAAATATAAAGACACGCTATTGATGGCAGATGCGCAAAATGACAATAGTAACATTTTCTCAATTGTTTTCGCTCTAGTCGAGGGAGAGACTAGTGGTGGTTGGAGTTTCTTTCTCAAGAATCTCCGAACACACATGGCTCTGTAACCTTATCTCTGACATACATGCTTTTATTGGCCTGTGTACGAAGAGGAAATAGTTTGGCACAATGATCAAATGCGAAGGATTAAAAAGGGTCGTCCCAAAAGAAAGTGTATCACAACTGAAATGGACGTGCTTGACACGCTAAAAAGAAAGTGTGATTTATGTCGTCAGGTCGGACACAACCAAAAAAATTGTCTCATTCGTGCTACTAGCTCGACAACATAAATATTGTATGTACACTATCTACACTTTTTTAAGATCTAAACAGAACTTTATTTTATTAAGAATATTTGTTACAACAAACCATACATGACCAACAAATAAAATGACATCACGACTAAAACAACAACACATACGTCAGATAAAGATAACATCAATAACACGACAAAATATTTAAGAAATTACAATCGTCAAAATAATTTCAGCAGATTCATGCATCATCATCATTGTGGCTCTGTCTGTTTTGACTTCCTCCAACCAACTGTGAGGTATTCTAGTTGTAAGTGAGGTGGTCGTTCTTCTTCTCTGAATTCTTCTAATTTGTTTGTCATCATGGATGTCCCCGTCTAATCATCAGATCAACTCTCTCTTAAGACGCTTTATGGAAGGGATGTGTCAAAAATTTATTTTAATTGGCGACTTGGTGGTCGAGAAAAAAAAATACCAATCTCTTATAAAAATCATGGGAGATGTCATGATTAAAAATTTAGAGGGGAAATGAGAAGAGAAAGTGAGAAAATGTGAAGAATGATGGAGAAATTAAGGGTTTTATTTATAAAAAATGCAGGTACATATAGGAGTCAGATGAGATAGCGCATCCTCCAAAAAATAGAGTGCATGTGTCATCTCACATGGCTTGAAAGTACTGCACACGCCATGTGAGATGGCGCCTACATGCTAATTTAGGTGGATGTGACATCTCATCTGGCTCATCTTTGTTGGTATTTTTTGAAACATGGTTATTTGTGTATTTTTTTAATACCTTGTTATTTGGAAGAAAAAAAATCAATTATTTTTATTGATATTTAATTGATCAAAAATATTTTAAAATTATAGGTGTGTTTGTTTTAAAGATTAAAATTGTATTCCTCAAAATCAGACATTGAAAATACAACAATCTCACATTTATTTCAAGGTTTTTAAAATTATTGCCATGTATTTTTATTTCAAGAAATATTTTTATACATAATTTTTATCATAATTATTCTCATACTTAAAGGGTGAGAATCTAAAAATTTTATGGGAATAAAATTTAACTCTAACTTTTCACTTCTATTCACATAGTTTTTATTTTTTATTTTTTATTTTTTATAATTTTTAAATTGAATAAATATTATAAACATTTATGAGAATTCTAAACTTTTGACCGTACACTTACATAAGAATATTATTTCTAAAAATAATAATCGTAGAAATAGAATTCTAAAGAATGATCTTTTGTAATTTGAAATAAATCCACTTTATAGAATATAATAATACTAATATTAATTAATGTAGGTTATTAATTTTGTCTATTATATTGACTAAAATTTGAGGTTCTTTTAATGGAGATTGCAAACTCCATTTTAATAAAAGAAAATTATATTTTGTATTTACTTAATGACTCTTCTTATATGTATAGCTACATTATAATTATTTATAGTTGTTTTCCTATTTTAAATATTAATTTTTAAATAATTATTTTGATAAATTAATAATATTGTGAGTAACTTTTTTATTTGTATATTTGCTATACTTTAGTAATTTTATATATATTTATTATAATTATTAAAAAAATTATAAATTAATAATATCATGATTAATTTTTGTATTTATATATTTGTTATATTTTTTGGGGCGTTTATTTTAAAGATTCATAAAATATTCTCAAGAATAAGTTATCCGAGAATAAAAATATAAAGATTTAATTCTAAACTATCTTTTTAAATTGTGTTTGACATATAATTTAATGTTTTTCGAAAAATGAATAATTATATATTTTTTTAATAAAATTATGTAAAGCTTCATGGGAATAAATATTTCCACCTTCTTCTCACTAAAATAAAATTATGAAAATTATGAAAGTTATTTCGTTTCAAAAAATTTTATTTTTGAGAATTATTTTTTTTCAATCTTCTATCAAACATAAAAATAACTATTTTCCAATCATATATTTTTGAGAATATTATTTCTAGACTTGAAACAAACGCTCTATTTCGTTATATTTATTAATACTTAATTGATAAATTTTTAATATTAAATGTTTTAGAATTAAATGATGGGTTTATTTAAGTAATATTTATTAATTTTGTAGTGATGGCAAATAAAACACATTCCACACCAAACCATCCACATTTCCTTCTCTCTGTATTTAGGTTTCTTATTGAAAGAACAGTACTATCTTTTGCAATAAATTTTAAAAAATTATTTATTTAAACTAGTTAAAGAAATTAGTTATGGTTTCTCCTCTCTTCTTGTTAGACTAGGAGTGTGATCTGCTCTGGTGCTTTTAACTTTAGAGGTGAGTTGGATGGTCTGTTACTATTCTTTTGCTTCTTGTTGGTGGTTGAGTTTGCCTCCCTTTAGTTGTCTTTGTCAAGGGGTATGTTGGTTGGTGACATCGATAAATGAGTTCTGTCTATTTTTTTATATTACATTTATTGTAGGTTGGTCACTGCTTCATTTTTTTTGTTTTTATTACCTTCTCTTTGAATACTGCTCGTACTTCTCCTCTAAATCAACTACTATTTTCTCTTTCTGGAATTTTATTTATATATCTCATTTCTTATTAAATAAATTATAATTAATTATTTAAGATTTAGTATAAAATATAAGTTAAATTTATTTGCTTAATTGTTATATTTTAGTTTTATATATTGATTGCTTTTAATAAATTATAAACATCGGAATTAATTTTGTATTTGCTATATTTTAGTAATTTTTTATATATTTATTAATATTTAATTGATCAACTATTAATATTAAATATTTTAGAATTAAATGATGATTTATTTGTGTTTCATACCCGGACAAATATCCAATAAAATAATAGTCATTTATTTTGTGTGTCCTATTGAGTCAAAGATATAAATATGTTAAAAAAAGTTTTTAGATACACACGATATCTAAACTCCATTTCCACTATGATTATCTTAAATTTTAAATTGGCTTGAGCGTTGAAGTGTTGAATATACGGGCACCACCCCACTCTTTGATTCACCGTACCAGAGATTAGTAAC